GGAGGCGGCGGCGGCGGGGGGCATGGACTCGGGCGGCAGGAACTCCTCTGGCGCCCCGAACAGCACCCTGAGTGAGTCTCAGGGCAGCGCCATCCTCATCTCATTCATCTACTCCGTGGTATGCCTGGTGGGGCTGTGCGGCAACTCTATGGTCATCTACGTGATCCTACGCTATGCCAAGATGAAGACGGCCACCAACATCTACATCCTCAACTTGGCCATCGCGGACGAGCTGCTGATGCTCAGTGTCCCGTTTCTGGTCACCTCTACTCTGCTGCACCACTGGCCCTTTGGCTCACTGCTCTGCCGTCTGGTGCTCAGTGTGGATGCCATCAACATGTTCACCAGCATCTACTGCCTGACTGTGCTCAGTGTGGACCGCTACATTGCTGTGGTGCACCCCATCAAGGCAGCTAGGTACCGTCGGCCCACTGTGGCTAAGATGGTTAATCTGGGTGTCTGGGTGCTTTCCATCATCATCATCCTGCCCATCATCATCTTCTCCAACACAGCGGCCAACAGTGATGGAACGGTGGCTTGTAACATGCTCATGCCAGAGCCCACACAGAGGTGGCTGGTGGTCTTTGTAGTCTACACCTTTCTGATGGGCTTCTTGCTGCCCGTGGTGGCCATCTGCCTCTGCTACATCCTTATCATTGCCAAGATGCGCATGGTGGCCCTGAAGGCTGGCTGGCAACAACGCAAACGCTCAGAGCGCAAGATCACCCTCATGGTCATGATGGTGGTGATGGTCTTTGTCATCTGCTGGATGCCATTCTACATCGTACAGCTGGTCAATGTCTTCGTGGAGCAGGATGATGCCACCATTAGCCAGCTCTCTGTCATCTTGGGCTATGCCAACAGCTGTGCCAACCCCATCCTCTATGGCTTTCTCTCAGACAACTTCAAGCGGTCCTTCCAGCGGCTGCTCTGCCTCAGTTGGATGGACAATGCTGCAGAGGAACCCATCGACTATTATGCCACTGCCCTCAAGAGCAGGGCATACAGCGTGGAGGACTTTCCCCCAGACAACTTGGAGTCAGGGAGCATGTACAGGAACGGCACTTGCACCTCCAGGATTACCACCCTCTGAGGAAGCATTTCTGAGCCCCTGCTCCCTACTGCCCCCCAGCAGGAGGGTGAGCGAGGCCAGGGCTGTGGCATGGGGAGGCTGGGAGGGAAGGGGTTTTTGTCCTGCCCACCAGCAGTGGTGTTTGGCACCAGAAGGAGCAAAGAAAACCCCACATCCTTGGTCTGCTGCCCCATTCCCCCCGTCTGCCTCCCTTGAAAGTGGATGCATTCGCTGATGCTTTGACACCCACTTAGCAAATTGCTGCACTCGTGGGTCGACTTGGGGTCTGGCAGCCAGGCTCTGCCACCCCTTTCTGTGTCTGATGAGTGGCTATATGAGCCCTGCAGTGACTCTCCCCTCACCTTTTGTACAGGTTGCCCTCCCCTTCAGTTGGTGGGACCCCCCCCGGCCACTGAGTCGAGCCTGCCTCAGTCAAGCCCCGGCATTCAGGCTCTGACTCTCCTTGACTGAAAGCGACTCTGCTCCGCGTCTGTCGGTATGCACCTCCCCTTCAGAGAGCAGAAATGCTGGGAAAAGTGCCCCTCAACATACACCTTGCCCTCTCTCAGGAAGGAGCAAGTAGCCTCTCTGTGCCCCTCCCCAGGAATAAAAAAGAAATCGGGGAGCAAAAAGGCCCCAGGAAAAGAAGCAGCATAGTCATGGAGCTGTTTCTTGCTTTGCAGACAGCTTCCACCTCACTGGGGCTCTGGCTCTCCGCTATGCTTGAGGGAAGCAGGGAAGAAGAGGTCTTCAGAAACAAATCTGATTATTGCTGTGCTCCGGAGCTGCACAGCCGGTTGCTGATAACGGGAGATAAACAGTCCCGTGACTCGCAGCGAGAAGAGCACTGAGCCAGGAGTCGGGGGGAGCACTGAGCTGGGAAATGTTTGAATGTGTCCGTACATACAATAAAGTGTGCTAATAATAAAGTTTAAAGGGAGCACTAGACTGTGAAGCCATTGTCTTGCACCTGCTCCATCAGCCGTGAAACAGCGATGAAGGGAGCTGAGACAGTTTTGAATGACCTGGGTGGCTGCAAAGTCACTTTAGCATACATGAAAAAGAGGGATTCGTTTCAAAAACTTCATCAGGCTCTGAAATAAATACTTGACAAGAAAAGTAGCTGTTTGATAATAGCTATTACCCTAGCTCCAGTTTTTTCTGTTGCACTAAAAAATAAAATGGGTTTCATATGTTACCAATGTAAGATACCAGCCCAGAGCTTCTTAATGTTTCATTTCTGAGAATTGTTGTTTTTAATGTGTGCCAGATGTCTTTTTGTTTGATTTTTTTTTATTTGATTCCTGTCACTGTGTTGTGAACGTGTTTCTCTGAAGCAATTTATACTGTGTACCTATGTCTGTGATGGCTACTTGCAAGGTTGCATTAAAAAGGGGTGACGCTCAATAAGGCTCCTTTTCAGATAAAAAGGTTGTCACTTTTTCTAACTTTCATCTACATTGTCTCCCCCACAAAAATTCTCTCTCTTGAATTTTCTCTTCTCGCTTCTTATGACAGAACAATTTTCATATAGATGAATGAAACTTTCTTGTTTGACAAATGACAGCTGATCAAACAAAACCTTCTATCCCTGCTCCCTCTTACCTCAGACTTAAGAGGCGATATGGACCGTGTTGAAATAAGCAGCTATGTTCTTTGCTTTCTACCACCTATATTAACAGTGTCATACAGTGGCAGGTGTCCCAGTAGCTGTGACAAATCACTTCTCTAGCACAATACTGTGGTTGTATTAATTATAGCTACTGGCAATCTGAAGCAAGAGATTCGGAAAATCTCTATTAGCAGCATACCCGTAGCATTGTACTGGTAGCTAAGGTGCTTAAGTACAGCGTTAAATGTGAGGTTGACAATTATGGCATCTAGCATTTGCGGTGGTGGACTTACTACAGGTTTTTGTTGAATTATACCCTTTCACTTTTCTCAGCAGCTAAAAGCAGGATACTACTTTGTAGATTTCTTTCACCAAAAATTAAGTACTGTTAAATGAATGTATAAATTTAGTATTTGAAATTTGTCTGATTCAAAGCCCATGGAAATGAGAGAAAAAAATCCCAGTTCACTTCAATGGACTGTGAGTCAGCTTATTTTAGTTTAAAAATCGCTAATGTGGTATCTGTTACATCCTTATTAAAATATTTTGTGAAAAGCTTTAACAATTGTACAGTTTCTTTTCTTTTACTTCCCAGTGGACCTCATTTAAAGAAAACATGCAAATACTAATTTGGGAATGTTTTACATGTACATATGGGGGAAAAAAGGACAGAATCTCTTCATAAGCTTATTTAACTTTTCACAGGAACCAAACATCTGTCAAAACAGTAAAATGCCCCACAAAACCACGCAATGCTATTTGTAGAGCTTCACTTAAAATCTCACTCACAATCTCTTCAAAAATGGTATAAATCTCACACTCTTTTTCACCCAGGCATGTTGTTATATGTGGTAAGATTAAATAGAGAATCAGTCTACTTTCTACTGCTGGATTTGTTTAACATCGAGCACAATGAAGCAAAAGTTAAAAACCAGTGATTCATACCTGATGCTCGGCTTTGATGAAAAGTTGAGCCTGCTTTTGGTTGTTTGGGTTTTTTTTAATATTTTTTTTTTTACTTTTTCCTTCAAACAAAGCTGTGATGGATGCCTGCACACCTCCAAGCACATGGACTTTAATTCCAGTTCTCTGTGGTGGGTGGGGGTGTTCACACTTGGCAGAGCAGCTGGGTGCTGCCGCAGAGGCGGTTGGTGGGGCCCTCAGTAGATGGCAGACTCTGCTTCAGATGGATGCACTAGCTCACTCGCAGCCAGCAGAGCCCCTGTGATGGCTGGCTAAACACTCTCTGTAGTTTCAGCTGGAAACAAAATCTGTTTATCCTAAACTAACAGTTCTTCCTGCTATTTTTTCACCTTGAGTTTAGTTTGACTTTGGCAGTCGGAGATGTGATCAACAGCTGTAAATCACTCTTAATTTGCTTTGGAAGGAAAAGTTAGTTCATTCTGTGTTATTGTTCTAAATAGTAGAACATAACTACCAGGAAAAAAACAGTTGTCCTTGTGAAATAATGTGTACCAGAAAACAAACAGAACTCTTTTAATGCTTTCCAAATTGTAAATAAGAGTCTTCAGATTTCATATGGAAATTATTTGAACTAATGCTTAATTCAGTGAAAAAGAATAGTGACATATTTCTTAGTGAAACACATCTTGCCTCTTTATACAGCTATAACATAATCCATCTACAAATGGGTAAATTTTAATTTATAACCAGTAGTATGTTGCTGCATTTTACCCATGAGTTTAATATTTTAAAAATACTGTATACACATTGTCATGGAAATTGGCCCCTGTGCCACTGAAATCTGTGCAACTTCTGTTGTTATTTGTTTAGGTAAGACCTATACGCAACAGTGTGATATCTCTGTTTAGTACTTAGTCAATGGACTGGACTATTCCTCATGGTACACATAAAGAGAGAGCGGTCTTCACATGGCACATACATAAGGTCATAGAATCATGTCATCATTATGGTTGGAAAAGAGCTTTAAGATCAAGGCCAACCATTATCTAACTCTACCATGCCACTTCTAAACCATGTCCCTGAGCACCATGTTTGATGGCTTTTAAATGCATCCAAGGATGGTGATTTCATCACTTTCCTGGGCAGCCTGTGCCAGTCTTTGTTAACCCTTTCAGTGTAGTTTATCCCAATATCTAACCTAAACTTCCCCTGTCAGAACTTGACGCAATTTCCTCTTGTCCTACCAGTTATAACTTGTGAGAAGAGATCCACACCCACCTCTCTACAACCTCCTTTCAGGTAGTTGTAGAGGGTGATAAGTTCTTCCCTGAGCCTCTTTTTCTTCAGACTAAACAACCCCAAGCCCCTCAGCCGCTCCTTATAAGACTTGTGCTCTAAACCCTTCACCAGCTTTGTTGCCCTTCTTTGGGCCCTCTCCTGCACCTCAGTGCCTTTCTTACACTGTGGTGCCCAAAATGGGACACAGTACTCAAGGTGTGCCCTCCTTTGTGCCAAGTAGAGGGGGAAGGATCACTTCTCTGGTCCCATTGGCTATACTGTTCCTGATGAAAGCCAGGATGTCGTTGGCCTTCTTGGCTACCTGGACACACTGCTGCCTCATGTGCAGCCAGCTGTGAATTCCACCCCCCAGGTCTCATTCTGCCTGGCCACCTTCCAGCCAATCTTTCCCAAGCCTGTAGCATTGCTTGGAGTTGTTGTGACCCAAGTGCAAGACCCAGTACTTGGCCTTGTTGAACGTCATGCAATTGGCCTCAGCCCATTGATCCAGCCTGTCCAGGTCCCTCTATAGAGCCTTCCTCCCCTCAAGCAGATCAACATTCTGCAAACTTACTGAGGGAGCACTTAATCCTATCATCCAGATCATTGATGAAGTTATTAAACAGAAATGTACCCTACACTGGGCCCTGGGGAACACCACTTGTGACCAGCTGCCAACTGGATATAACTTCATTCACTACCAGTCTCTGGGCCCAGCCATCCAGCCAGTGTTTGCTCCAGCATAGTGTATGCCCATCCAAGCCTTGGGCAATCAGTTTGTTCATGAGAATGCTGTGGGGGACAGTATCGAAGGCTTTACTGAAGTCCAGGTAAACAACATCAGCAGCCTTTCCGTCATCCACCAAGTGAGTCACCTTGTCATAGAAGGAAATCAGGTTCGTTAAGCAGGACCCACGAACCTATGTTGACTGGGCCTGATCATTTGGTTGTCCTGCAAATGGTGTGCAATGGCACTCAACATGATTGGTTCCATGACCTCCTCTGGCACCTAGGTCAGATTGACAGGTCTGTAGTTCCCCAGATCCTCCTCTGGGCTAAATGTCTGTATTTCAAATGTATGTGACACACTCTATTAACACCATGACCGTATACTGTAAGTTAACCAGTTTCCAAAAATCAGCATCCCCATGTAAATATTAAACTAAATCTTACTGAAATAAAATGATGAATAAGTTATGTAAGACTCGACTTCTCTGCCATGTTTCCAGAACAGCAGTGTAAATCAGTGGCTTAAAATCCTGCCAAAAAAAAATAAATC